AATTCAGAGTCTTTGAATCCAATATAGTTTTTGTCAATGTGCTGGAGTCCGGTGGGCCTCATTCATCTCATCTCAGAGAACCCTACGGACCCCCGAGCCCGCCGAGCGTCACGCCGGCGTCCTGATCCATCGCAGAGCTTCCTGCCAAAGGGTCGGCGGGTAGATGTAGGGGGGGGGGGGTGTAACGTCTAAAGGGACCCTGCAGTGTCTCAGCCTGATCCCTGGCATCCGGACCCCGTACCTGGCTTTATAAGGCCTTGAGCGATGCCAGAATCGGGCCGTTCCTGGAGAAGCTCCGTACCCAGAGGGAGCTTTGTTTGGACTGAGGCAGAGGAGATGTATGGCCGCCGCTGCCACACAGACCCCCCCCCCCTATTAAATCTTTGTTATCCACACAGCCTTTCATTTGTATTTATTTCGCTGTGTGATGGGGACAAAGCGCAGTGTGTTCTCCTGCTGCGCGTCGGGCAGCAGCTGTAAATAACACATGGGTACAGTTCACTGCGCTCAGATCACTGTTATCCAGTCCAGGTCACTTAGAAACAAATATTCTCTTTTCTGCTGCTGGAAGAACTCTTGACACTTTGTAATAAGTAATGTCTTCTTACAAAGTCAGGTGCTTCTGAAATAAACACATATCCAGGATATATTTTTGGAGGGAAGTGGGTAAATATGTAATTTAGGAAACAAGTGGCCTCTTTGAGATGATTCATTTTTACTTCAATTGACTGCAAGACAACGTGTGCTAAAATGCTGCTGCTGTTTGTCCACATTCTAAACCCTCTCAAACATCCGGCCCGACAGAGTGTTGAACGTTTGGTGTCTGGATTCTCAGCCCACCTGCAAACTGTCAAATTAGACAGAACGCCATTCAACTTCTGCAGGAAGGCGCAGGAGGTTTTTATTTTTTTTTATTTTCTGGCCTTCGAGCAGAAGGCCACTGAAACGGAGCCTCGCAGGAGAATTAGTAGTCGTTCATCGAGCACAAAGTATGAACATCGAATACACGACGTGTCGGCGAAACGTTGGGCTGAGATTGATTCTCCATCGGAGTCCGATCGAAGCCTCTTCCTCATGGGTGACCCCCCCCCCCCCCCCCCCACACACACACACACACACACACTTCTGTTCAGCCTCAGCTGTTGGGCTGCCGGCCAAACGCAATGTTTACACCACAGCGCACAACTGTTGGCGAATTGTTGGCGAATTAACGATCCTGAGACGAGGGGCTCTGCTGCGATTGTAGTGAGACAGGTGCTGAGGGCGGCGGGGGCCCGGCGTGGGGGGGGGGTTACGGTTCCTGGCCTAATGTTTCTCAAACACGTGTAAGAGGAGGGTGTGGGGGGGGGGGTAATGTCCCTGTGCATTAGTAAATTTAATGCACAGGGACATTACCCCCCCCCCCACACCCTCCTCTTAGGTGGCATCTCATAGATCTGCAACCGGAGGAGACGAGGAGCTACAAAATGCCACATGAATGAAAGTTGACGTCGCTCCAGGAGCCAGATGATGCCAGATGAGGAGAGAGAATATCGGACTCCATCAGGTGGACCCGGACACAGCGGCCCGATGGTGTCGCTTTGTAACTACGCAACTGGCTTCTTTGTCGTCGCCACTTCAAAAGGGGCCGAATGCCAACTCCAGTTTCCACTGCTGTCGAGGCTCCAAAAAAAAACCGTGTTACTGCAGGTTCATGAATTGGGAATAGCTCTTAACACAGGCGCGCACATCGCTGGACACGCGCGGAGAAGAGCTTTGATCCGAGACTCATCCTGCAGGTGAGAGACACGGGCTGAAATATCAAAAGGCTTTTTTGTGGGGGGTTTTTTTACCCATGATGCCGCGGCAGGGCCCCCGGGTGACGGGCGCCTGCTTTCCGTCACCGCCACCTAGAAGCTTCAACAGAGGAAAGCGGCGGCGGGCCACTCGGGCCGCTTCCCCTCTCGGCCTCCAGCTGGATTTCATTCTCTCCCTCAGGTGTTGGATTAGCGGTCGAAGTAAAGGCCGACATTCAGATGCCGAGAGAAGAATAAATAAATCACAACGCGTGGAACTGTATCGATTGGCGCGGGTGGGGGGGAAGCGGCTGATGAGCGGAGGGGTCGTGGGTTCGAGTCCCCCCGGCTGCTGAAATACATTCAGCACTTGACCTGCCGGCGGGCCTCGACCTCCTCGTTACGCAGGTATTAAAAGGAGTGAGCTCCCGCGATTCGAGGGGCTCACGAGGGGCCGTTGCTGCAGGAACAACCTGGCTTTCGTCTCTCACCACTTCCAGAGGCAAGTGCGCCGAGGGGCGGGGGTCCGGGGCCTCCTAGGATCCGCCCGTTTGCCAAGAGTGTGTGCGCGCTGTTGCCGCGTCAGACAGGAAACCGTACCTTCAAGCAGCTCATTTGGACCGACATATTTAACTTTGATGTTCATATGTCCTCCTGAGTTTGAATTCTTCCACCAGCTTCCAGGCCAGAGGATCATTAAGGGCAGAAGCTGTGAAAGTGTTTATCCGGGGTTTAAGGCGGAGCAGATAAGCTCCTGAAAGGAGACGGAAGCGTCTGCTGTGAAGGAGGAGCGCTTATTTGTGACCTTCATCACGGGGAAGAAAACACTCGCACCCTTCTTCTCCTCTCGTGCTCCACAGATAAACTCTGAACAGAGCGTTATTGTGCTGCAACAAATGAAAGCGCTCAACAGAAGCTAATTAAAAAGTACAGCGCCGGCCAGTTTCTTCGCCACTACACCACAATAACAACCCGGCCGCGCCCCCCTCGGCCCCCCCCTGCCAGACCCACAATAATAACCACAAGAACTGAGAGTGTTTTATTTGGGCTCATTATTTGTATTTCTTTCATGTTGAAAAAAGCGGGATATTTATTTTATTTATACATAGTAAGATTGTGAAGACAGCGGAAAAAGGAGGAGGGTTCCGCCGGTGTTTAGGGGTCCAATGCCTCGCTGAGGGGCCGCAGCCGAAGCCTACGTCACGCCGTCAGGCGTCCATTTGTGGCGAGGGAGAAGCCGCCGGGCCAAGCCTTTCATGGTCCGGGGCAACGGGCAAAGAAAGGCTCTTTTACCAAAGCGTCAGTTAAGGCGGGATGAGGGGTGATCAATCACGGCGGGCTTCCAGGACGCGTCGGCCCGCCGGAGCTCAGGCCAAAGTCAGCTGACCGCGCCGACACAAAGGAGCGCTGTCGGAACACACATGTGACCTCATCTGCGCGGAGACGGCTGGCAATCGGCAGCCTGAGCTGGTGGGTCGACGGCTCCGCCTCCGGAGAGCAGAGCGATAAGCGGCGTGGTGATGTCATTCCCTTTCTGGAAGAGGACGGGAGGCCTTTGAGGCGCTCGGTTGGAGCTTATCAGCCGGTTTGGAAAAGAGAACTGTGTGTTTGTGTGAAACGTGGAGTTGTTTCTCCCCGTGGACCTTCCATCTGGAACCATGCTGTGTTCTATTCATTCAGTGCACCGTGTCCCCGGCTGATATCCGGCAGAATGAGGTAAAGAAAGATACGGACGAGCAGCCGGGGCTCCATGTTTCGTGCGGACCCGTCACGTCTGATCGCTGCTGTTTGGGGCTTCGCCACCACACACACATTTAGATGTGATATAAAAAAGTTTTAATTTCTTTGGCATTAGTGGACTTCCCAGCTCAAATATTCAATATAATCACTTCATTTTATAATAAATAAATCATTGCGATTCTGAATGATTTTATTCACTTCTAATGTTACGTCATGTGACACAACGTGTGACGCGGAGGGAAAACACACGTCTCGTCATGTGACATCTGCAGCGGCTGGGGAGCCACAGTGGACCAGACTCTGACGATGAGGCCCCTTTCCTTTTTTCCTCCTTTCTAATCGCAGGGAACCCGGGTGCCTTCACGGCGAGCGAGCAGACGCTGGATGTTCAGAACACAGGCGCACAAAGCTTTCAGGGACTCGCGGCACCTCGAATCTCTGCTGCTATTCATGTAAAACTGCCGTGAATTAGTCTCTGCTACGATTTTTCTTCTGCTCCCACGGGCGTCATTTCAGGGGTGTAGTCGGCCACGTTCCCTCTGCCGCCTGCTGGTGAAGATATCCACCGTCTCTTTGTGTCACGTGGCATCTCCGAGGAGAGCAGAAGGCGGCCCCGTCTCCCAGCTTCTGTCTGCTGATTGTGACCTCTGACCTCTGAGGGGTTTGTTCCCTCCACAGAGACACAACACATCCAAGCTTTACGTTTCTGGTTCTCAGTCTGGTCAGTTCGGTCTGTTATATCTCAAAACTCAAGTCCAAGAAAGTAACTGATTAGATGGACTTTAGGTCAAAGGTCAAGTTCACCTCATGTTACTTCAGCACCTAATCTGACTCCATTGATATGAGTCTCTATTACGCCTGGTCCAACACTCCTCCACTGGACCAAATCAAGCACAGAAGACACATGGCGTACACTTAAAATGGTCTTTCAAAATAAAATGCCTTTCAAAATAAAATGTAAGTTCAGATGTAAGGTTCACTTATAGCTATTTTCTTAGTGTGGGTGTTAAAATAAGTATGTGTTTTATCAAATAAGATAATCCTTTATTAGTTCCGCAGCAGGGACATTCGATTGGACATTGGATTAAATCAGCAAAAGGGGGTAAAGTGCACACACACACACACACACACACACACACACAAACACACACACGCCAGACAGCAAAGCACAAATAAGCAGGTAGTTAAAGAATCACAAACATACACGCTAATAAGCATCATGTGCAGATATTCTGCAGAAATGACACCGATTGGAGGGAGGCCAGGGCTGCACTCAGAGTTAAGCCCAGCTCCTGGTGGGGGGGGCGTGGGGTCCAATGCGTGACGGGCTGTATGGGTCGGTTGGCCCGGAGCAGGAAGCCTTTTCACAGCAGCCATCATGCACGCTGATAACCGCTGAGTCTCCCTGGCCGGAGCTGCAGAGGACTCACTGGCCTGTCATCCGAGTTTCACAGATGACAACTCTACAGTGCTTCCCCCCCCCCTTCATCCCTCCCCCCCCGCTTCATTTCATGTCTGCTCTATGAAAAAGTCTTGGCCGCATACAGAGGAATGGAAGAAACGAACGGGCTCGCTGACATCACTGCTGCGCGGCTCTGGACTCATTGGGGAAAAATCTAGTTTTGCTTGTCAACAAAAAGCATCATTAAATATTCATAACTTCTTACAGCTTTCCAGTGGTTTCAAAAAGCCTTTTTTGTATTGGCAGATACGTACAATGGCAACCATGTCATCCTTGAGGAGTGTTTGATCTGTTGAATAAGTGTCGACTTGTACCGATGTTCTCCTGTTTAGCTGCCGAGGACATCCGATACGAGCTGTGACCTCGGCTGCCCCCGGACCATCTTCACTGCCCCGACCAGTCGTCACGGCAACCGGCACAAAACTCACTCTTCTAAAATTTGGCGACGGCATTTGGAAAAGCGAGGAGGAGAAGAAGAAGAAGAAGAAGAAGACGAAGAAGAAAAAAGGACAGTTGTATTTGCTGTACGCGCTGTGAAAACACGTCTTTCATACGGTGCCAGAGGGCCAGCGTGGCTTTGTCCTCTGTACAAATATGAGTGGCAGCCTCTTTTTTCTAGCTCCGAGCAAACATCACAGGCCTCCTCCTCCTCCTCTTCCTCCTCCTCCTCCTCGGCCGTGGGACTGCTCTCTGTAGACGCGGCGTAGAGAAAGAACCGGTGGCACCGGGATTGATCCGGCTTTAATTAACCATTGTGCGATGATCCACGACTCCTGCCAAGCAGCCGGGGTGATTTACGGCCCCCCTGTGGTGGAATACGGAGGACGAGGTTCTGGTGGAGCACAAAGACATGTGTCTGATATCTGTACGCAGACATTTAACCTCAAATGTGCAGGATATTCTTTTCTTTAATCAGACAAGGAAATAGGGTTTACTAACCGTGCGTCCTGCTGTTATTTAAATGCACGTTGTTGCTTTGGGCAAGATTAATAACTAGTATTAAAGCTTTATAGATGAGGGGGCGTCGGCCTGTCAGCTCCTCGCTCGCCGGCCCACATTCCTCAGTCTGCCCCCTTCTCAGCTGACTGAGCAGAACACGTTTCCCCCCCCCACGGGGAAACAGGCCGAGGATCTCCGGCAGTCGATACTGTAAAAAGAGGGGAGGGGGGATTAGCTGATCAGAGGCCGACCTTCGACGCAGCGCTGCGGCCTGCGTGAACCCTCGGCGAGGTGGAGGAGTCTGCACCCACATGGGGGGGGGGGATTAAGACGGGCACCAGGGGGCGCCGCTAAAAGATGGGAGCTCCGCTTCTGCCTCGGGCGCTGATTAAACTCCCCCTGCCCCCCCTCGCCTCCCCCCATACGGCAGTTTCTCCCGTGAAAGGGCATAGGTCAATATTACAGAGGTGGGGAAAATGAAAAGGATATCAAGCAATTGTGAGAGATGAAGAAAATGTCAAGAGGGCAGAAGAAATCAAATAATGAGGGGAAATAATGGAGGACACAAAATGTGTGAAGCAGGTGAGAAAAGTAATGACAAAAAATGTTTGTTTTCTCATAAATATGATCTTTTTTTTCTTCCATTACAGCGACTTAATTGTGCTGAAGTGAGTCCTTCTGCTGCTGTGAGAGAGAAAGGCCTGGGTGGAGCTGCCGGGTGGAGGAGCCGGTTGAAGGACTAGGTGGAGTTGCTGGGTGGAGCTGCTGCTTGAATGGCCTGGGTGGAGGAGCCAGGTGAAAGGACTAGGTGGAGTTGCTGGGTGGAGCTGCTGCTTGAATGGCCTGGGTGGAGGAGCCGGGTGACGTGGGGAACAGGTGACGCTGCACGCTGCTCAACAGGTGCGGCGGTAAAAGGCGGCGCTGACAGACGAAGCAGAAGAGAGCGGGACAGAGAAAGAAAAACCCCGAGGGAGAAACCGGAGGATGAGGAGGATGAGGAGGATGAGGAGGAACGGGTTCCTCAGAGACTCACAGCTGTATTTAATAAAAGGCTCAGCAGCGTTGATCTGACTCGGGGGGATTTCTCCAAACATCCTGAAGAGCTGAAAGGACGCTGTGACCCGCGCGCTGCTCTGATTGAGCACTTCCTGTTTCAAGCACTCACTGAGGACCTGAGGACAAATGTGTCTTACGGGTCTCTCAGCTCGGGAGCTTTTTGATATTCCCAACAATCAGCGGCCACCGCGAGCTTTTTATAGCTGCTTGTTTATACTCTGGCCACTAGAGAGAGAAACTCCAGAACAAAACTACATCATCACCTTATGAAATGGTTTAGAAACATTGTTGCCAACCTTCACCTCACAAATATATTCCTGAGCCCCAACAACGAGTTTTTAACTATGAATTGAATTTAGGTGTAAATAGTCAACTTTACTTTCATCCACCTCAAAGCCAAAATATTTCACTTAACTGTTACATGAAAAAAAGTAAAGACATTCATGTATGTTTCTTTGTTTGCAGTCATCTGTTTGTATCACGCGCTGCTGTTGGACTGTGTGCGTTGGTATAGTCAGGTCCCCTCAAAGTGAATTTAATGATATTGATCATTAACTGGGATTTGAAAAAGGGAAATTTCATCTGTTAGAAGCTGATTCATTCATTGTAAAATAAAACATTTAAGATCAGCTACAATGGCTTGATGAGATCTCTTTACCACAAAGGCCCGAAACTTTGCAGTAGCAGGACTGCACCTACTGAACAATTTACAAGAAATGAAACCTATCCTTTTCCCTCCTCGCCGCCTGACAGGCCGTGAAACACAGCGCTAGCATCGGCTCGTTCAGTCAAACATTGACTAAGGCGTGTGCACATGTGCATATCTAATCTTCCTCTGTTCAGTTGTGATACGTAAACACGCTTAGGTTTCAGTCTTGAGCAGCAATAAATTCGCCGCACGTCTCCTGCATTGTTACTTGCTGCTGATTCCGTGCTGAAGACATGGCTCTTACACCGGTGAGTCTCCTGCTGCTGCTTAGTGCTTATTCAAAGCTGCTCCTGCATCCTTCACTTAAGGTCTGCTGCTGATGTTTTGATGTCCGTTTATTATTCTTATGATGATTGTTTCTCAAATCATTTCAGTATAATCACAATGCACAGCCCGGGGACCTGATCGAGATCTTCCGCCCAGGGTATCAGCACTGGGCTCTCTACATCGGTGGCAACGAAGTTGTTCATTTGACCACTTCAGGGTGAGTAAAAAGCTGCCTTCATCAGTGACCTTTCCTTAAATAGCTCCGCCTCAGAGCAGAAGTCACCTTGAATCGTTCCCTGGTTCTTTACTTTAACTTCTGTCCTGTTTGTCTCACCTGTGACCCGTATGCACACACAGGTAGTGACTCGGGCTCTTTTGGGGTCATGATGACAGTGCTGAGCACTGTAGGCACCGTGGAGTGCCACAAGATCCGGGAGGTCGTCGGTAACGACCGATTCAAAATCAACAACCTGTTGGATCACAGGTACAAGCCTCGGGATCGCGGCGTCATCGTGAGGGATGCGTGCGAGCTGGTGGGCCGGGAGCTGCCGTACAGCGCCGCCACCTTCAACTGCGAGCACTTTGTCACCGGGCTGCGGTACGGAGAGCCGGAGTCTCGACAGGTGGGTGGTGCATTATTCATGATTCACTCCAACGTTGTATTTCAGCACTTACACAAGATCCTGGAAACACTAATTCACAAAGTGATGTTCTGTAAAGACAGATGACTGAAAGAGGAGATCACTCCGAACCAAAATGTAATCATAAGAGAAGGTTACGTATTTTCAACAGTAATATGACCCTTGACTTCAAAGTGCTACGCTGCACCTGATATGGTTCATCACACATCGTAACAACACACATCCTGATTGGTGCTAAATGAAGTTTGACTGCTGCTGTTTCGAAGAACGTAGGATGATTAATAAGCTGATTTGCAAAGTAAATGAAAAGCTTGTTGAATCAGACCACGCTGTTACACAGAAAGCCTGGATGTTGTTGTAAATCTACTTTCCGTTCGCTTTGTTTTGCTGCTGTTTGTGTACTTTGTATTATATCTCACTGCTGTATTAAGGTGCTACATTGTTGGAATGTCTCCTGTTGGAATGTTAATTGAGAGCAGGTTTTTCCAAGTAGTGGGAATCAATTCAACATTTTATGTTAGAAGCTGATCACTGGATCAAAGCCCAGTGGCACGGATCATTTTTCTGCAGTTGAAGGTGTTTTCAAGGGGAAACTTGATAGCGAGCTAGCGAAAGCGCTAACGTTAGCTAACTGATTCAACGCTCGGGAAGATATGACAGCAACTCCATTTTCAATATGAGCCAAACTTTGATACTAAAACCCACAATGTCCGTTCGCTCACGTGTTCCTCGCAGGTACAGACAGCGGCCACCATACTGGGTGTCGGTGCCCTCGTGGCTTTGGGCGCCGTTCTGTTCGGCGGTCTGCTCAAAGATGACGAGGAGGACCAAAGAGAAGGAAGAAGAGGGAGTAGACATCGTAGGAGACAACAGTGAGGCCGAATGATGGAAGAAAAGATCCCAACATTGTTTGAGTTAATTCACCGCCATGATTTTTATGCAAACGATGTGAATAAAATATTGCACAAACACACACATAACAGTTCATCCCCAGAGGAGAATTAATTTAATATAAACGGCTGTCATAATGTAATGTCTTACTAACGTTTAACGTCAATTTATTCTTCATATAATGTATTGTATTGATATGTGTCAAAATTAAATAAATAAATGGACATTTGTACAGGAAAAATTCTTTTTTTGTTACTTTGTAAATTCTTTATTTATTAAAACAAATCATTTTCTTTTTAAATGTATCTGTATTTTATAGAACTTTACATCACCGTAGCAGGTTTCCTCAAATCCTCAGAATCTAAACAAATGCTGTGAGTTCTCAAATGGTGTTTGGCCCCCCGTCGTCTCTGTGGCCCCTCGTTGGACCTCCGTCCTGCATCCGCAGGACTCTACAATGTGGTCATAGCTGAGCGTGAAGTTGGGCTTAGCTTAAGTTTAGGGTGACAGTTTGGATTAAGCTGGTTCCCGTGTGACGGCTGGATTTCTGAGGCTCCGCCTCCCACCACAGCGGGATGACGAGGCCTACGCCGCATTTCAATCGGCAGCATTCAGAGGTTCTACGAGTAATGACATCACATGCAGTGATTAACTCCTTTTGCTTTCCACCTTTTAATGCTTGCTTTAACGCTAAGAACACATCGGCGACCTTAAACATCTCAACAAACCAATCAGACCAGATGATTGGGGCGTTTTTGCAACAACACGTCCTGCTCTCCGTGTTTAGGGATCCGGAGGACGACGGCTGATCGTGGCCCGATCGTTAGGCTCAGAAATTATCACCACGTAAAACAAAAGCATTGAGTTATTACATTACATGTTATTTAGCAGACGCTTTTATCCAAAGCGACTTACATTACACTTTTTTTTAAACCCATGGCTTTTTCACATTTTTGCCCGGGGAGCAATTAGGGGTTAGGTGTCTTGCTCAGGGACACTGCGACGTGGAAAATGGGGCAGCCTGGAATCGAACCAACAACCTTGTGCTTCGCAGCACACCTTCTCTAACCCCTGCGCCACAACGACCCCCTATTACCTCTCAGTTTTAGGGTTTGCACGACCACAAACATCGCTGGTTCCTGTGAGTCAGCTGCATTTGGGTATTTGGCAAGAATCAACCTGTTGCCAAATAGAATTTGTCCCATTACAGCCAATAATGGCTGTCATTATGGCACCAATTGCAGACAAACGCTCAATTACGAAGGAAAAAAGAACTTTAGAATAAGCGACATAAAGCCTGTATTTGGTATGTTTACAGTCTGAAACCCTCCTTCAAATCTAAAACCATGCCGATTGTCTTCAGGTGATAACGGAGGCCCCTCCTCCGCCTTTTCCCAGCCATCCACCAGATGGATCAGCCAACCGTGGTCCCGCTTCCCTCGTCTGCTCCGCCCGGCCTCCTCCGCCACCCCCTCTCCCGGTTTACCCGGATCACCCTCCCACTGCCTTTGCCAGTTGGTCACTGTTGCATTGTGGGGGTTTGCTGCCTGTTATCTAGCTCCATGCTTCATCGCCGCCATGGACAACCAGGTGGCAGAACTGTCTCACCTGAAGCGACATGGAGGTAGAGGAGGGGAGAGAACCTGCTGTTTGTACGCTGCACCCACATGAATCACCACAATAAAAGCCCAGAGAAAAGCTGCGGGACGGAGGCCAAAAACCAACCACCTCTGGTGTCACTTTGTCCCCCGTCACCGCTGCTTTCTCTCAGACTCCCCCGAGAGCCAGACGGAGGAGGGGAGGGGGTCCAGGCCCCCGCCAGGACGGCTATTAGACCTCCAAACTTCTTCCATTCGGTACAAAGACGTCATTGAGGCTCGTCGTAGCACCTGTTGAAGTTGTGGAGGAGATGGCAGAGGCTCTTCCTGTGTGTCTGTGGGGAGGGGGGGGTCGGGGGGGGGGGTCCACCATCTCCCCCACACCCAACAAACTGTTTAAAGACCTTTTTTTTTCTCCAAACTGCCGCCATGCCAGATAAGTCAACAAATGGGGTCCATTGAAACTTTGTTCATCGTGTGAGGGGCCTTTTTGTGAGAGAGGTTGTGTGGAGGGTGGAGGTGGGGTGGGGTGGGGTGGGAGGTGGATTTAGGACCACATGAAGAGGAGAGCCAGGAGGACGTGGTGGAGACCACCCTAAATGCAAGGTTTCTATGCACGCCGATGCCCGCTCAGGTGGCAGCAGTTGAAGCAGCCGCCTCGCCACCTCGACCCCCACCCACCCCCGACCCTCCACCACCCTCCACCCTCCCTCGCAAGGCTCACAATGAGGAAACTGTTTCAGCGAGACGAGGGGAGATTAGAATAACAATGTGGTTAATGATGTTTGTGCCGTTAAAGGCACAAAGTCGTTACTGAAAAAGCCATCAGGGCCCCGAAGTCAAAGAGAATGAAAAGAGGGTTTTTAACACCGATTATTTGTGGTGAATTCTAAACAGACGGTGATCGACGAGCCGAACACCAGCGGCACATTTGGGGTCTCGTACTTGGTACTTTGTTCGTGCAGCCATAACTTTGTTCGGTGTGTGCGATGGCGGCTTGTTGCATTAGCTGGAGTTCCTTGCAGGCTTCTTCACTCGGGCCCCACCTCAGCAGAGCCCAGTTGGAGCTGGCAGCTTTCTCTTCTCAAGGCTTTGAAGAAGAGCTCGGCTTGCAAAGCTGCATTTTAAAGTTGGATGGCAGATCAGAGGCGCGAGCCGCTACGGTTGTGCCTTCTGGAGGGATGTACTTGCTCGTACTGCGACATCCAAAAAGAGCCTTCTGTCTTCTGAAGACGAGAGAGAGACCAAACCGCCACGAACCCAGAACCAATTATCCTCTGGAACGCAAACAGAGGCGGGAGCACGGGATGGCTATATGTGGCAATGATGGAATGAGACATGATTTCAGCTGTTATTTACATCCACATTATAGCATGACACTATCATTTAGAGGGACTGGAATACGTTTCGTTGTCCTTGAAGCTCGTGTTTAATAGAGGGGAGACAAAGAGCTGGGCCAAAAGAAGAGCTGACTGAACCCTAATTATCAAACGTCGCCTTCAGAATCATGAATGGACTCTGTGAAGGCGGGTTCAACACACACAGCAGAGTAAACGCTGTCGGCTGGAAAACCAGCATAGCAGAAAGTATGGTTCTCTGACAACATACGGCAATATTTCTGGATACAATTAAATAGATTTAATTGGGAAACTAAAGCCAAGTTGCTGCATTCTCTTTGTTCGTCTCACTCACCGGAGACACGCGACGAAGAAAGCAGCTTATAAATGTCCAAACAAGTTTTAGTTATGCAGGAAAAGTCGTCTTTAATACAGCAGGATGTTTATTTAGTAAATAAGGTTCCCATTTGGAGTAAAATGGACCACAAAGCTTTGGGGGCGGGGCTACTTGGTGATTGACAGTTCGGGGCCCAGCTCAAATGAATGAAGCTGACTTCAGCTGCCGGTAGAAACGCACACTTGTGCTCCATTAAGGGTTCTTCCACGCGGTGGGACGTTCGAGGCTCACCGCGGTGTGATGTTCATGGTCGTCGCCTAAACGCAGCCTCGCTCGCACCTACTTCCTCCATCCGGCCGCCGCCGCCGCCTCCGCAGCTCCACCATCATTTCACATAAATAAACATGCACATAAGCAGCACAAGGATCAAACCCAGCGATAGATGCTCCCAATACTGTTAATTATATTATGTTATGCTTATTATAGGTCTGCGAGGAGAGAAGCAGGGGTTTGGCTGCTGACAGATGAAGTGTGACACGTGCTCGAGCAACAACATCTCGTGCACGTTCCCTTTCCGTCCGCCGAGCCGTGGACGTAATGAACGCAAATGTTTACTTCCTGTGTAAATGATCCTCGTGTGGCCAAACACAGGTAGGCTCACGCAGCGTGACACAGAAATAGGCCGGGGGGGGGGAGGGGGGTAAAGGCCGGCGCTTGTGCGTCGGCTGGATGGGCCCGACTGTCTCGGGAAACAGGAACAATAGGTCTTTGCGGCTCAGCCCCCCGGCCCCCCCCAAACAGCAAGAGAGGTAAAGCAGTGACGCCGAGCAAGTTCCCCCGTTTGTGTACATTAGGACTTGAGCGATTATACAGCGTAACCATTCAGAGGAGGAAATATCACGAGCAACATCCTTTCAGGGAGAAATGAGGAACTAGAGAAAAAATGTTACAGTATCAGAAGGTCATTATAATAAAAAGTTAAAAGTATTTTTAGGAAAGACTCATCTGTCATCGCAGGAAGCCGTTACTTCAGCAAGCAAGAAAGAACTGATCTGGCCCCAAAGGACCCATCGAGTGATGTGGAGAGAAAAGGATCTGAAATCTGAAGCTTTGTTTGGGATCCTCTGCGCTGTCAGCATTTAAAAGTCCTCTAAAAACAAAAATACAAGAAGTGAGCAAGCTAAAAGTTGCATGTAAGAAACGTGTGTGTGAGCCTCTTGGCGGCAGAACAGCGTCACACACAGAGCTTAACAATCTAAACATGATAAATAACACGGATGCCTCGATGTCTCTCTTCATTTCTTACTATTCTACTTGGTCTCTAACATCTTTATGACCATAGTACTGTCTTTTTTCTGCTTTTCTCTTTGATTAAAAACACTGTAAGAAATCTGTTGAGTTCTCCATCATATACATATATATATATACACATATATATATATATATATATATATTTATGGGCCATGTGTCTCTTCCCTCCCACGGGACAGACGAGGCTGTGGCTGCTGTGATGGAGCACCAGCTGGGCCAAGCGGAGCTCGCGGTCTGCTTCTCTGGAACGAAATATTTTTGTGTCTTCTTGTTATTCTGCTGATTTTGGCGATAAGATTCATGTTTTCATAACGGCAGATACATTTTGAGTCAAAAGAAAGGCATGAAAGTGAGTAAACTCACTAACGTCGGCCGTTGGTGAGTCGATGACTCTCTTAAACCTGACGATTGTGTTGCTCAGCTTCCTGTGAAGACGGAAGAAGTTTATTTCGCAAAGACACTGTGCGTGTAACGTGTGCATGGCGACATGCCAACAGGGCCACACAGCTCCAGCTTGTGTCCAGAGGGCACGGAGGTGGGATTTCATCCCGGCAAAACCTTCTCTTCCTTCTTCTCGTACCTCCACAAACTCACGAGCTGCACCTTGACTGCTCTATAATAAATAGAGAACACCACGTCTGGAAGCCAGCTGCAGTAACGATGCTCCGATTCCTTTTCGCTCGGGATAAACTTGATCATTTTCCGCCTTCCATCCTTCCGGTTCTTCAGGCGGCAGAAGCAAGAGTCCCAAAGTCAAGAAGCCGCGTCTTCGTCAAAACGTTTCTCTGCTGAGCTTCAGACTCTCGCTTTCTCAAACATACATTTGAGTTTTGTGAACCACGAGGATTATTGTCATAGCCAACCCCGGTATTAAAGAATTAAGGTCAGACAGAGCGACTCCTGCGCGGACCATTACTCTGCGGCCTGGATCTCGGTGGAAAAGAGAGAAACCTCAGTCCATCAGAAGCTGAACAACGGGGGAAGTGTTGGCAGATGATACCAAGGCATTCACAGTGGGGCTCAGAGGGATCCGACTCCACGTTATTAGAAAGTTCCTCTCCCAGAAGAAATGCAACACCAGTTTTGTTTTTTCGTTTGTCGAATGCAGACAGGCCCCCTGACATCAGGACGTTTCCATTACAGTCTGCTTCTGTTTTGAGAGCAAGTTATTGGTGTGATTGCAGCGCTTACTCGGGAATCTGCTGCTGATGGGATCAAAAGACTATACTTTAACCTTCAAAGACCTTCTCAATCTCCAGGAGCTGCCTGAGTAAAACCACATTTTTGTATTAGATTTCTGGGGTTTGATGGCAGTCTTTGGATGAAGGAGCCAGTGATCCTCATGGAGATGCCTCATGAAGATGCCTCCCGGTGATCGTCATGGAGATGTCTAATGATGATGCCTCATGGAGATTCCTCATAGAGACACATTATGGTGATGCCTCACGGAGATGCCTCCTTGAGATCCTCACAGCGATGCCTCATGGAGATTGCTCCTGGTGATCCTGACAGCGATGCCTCATGGAGATTCCTCATAGAGACACGTTATGGTGATGCCTCACGGAGATGCCTCGTGGAGATTCCTCATAGAGATGCTTCCTGGTGATCCTCCTGGAGATGCCTCCTGGTGATCCTCACAGCGATGCCTCTTGAAGATACCTCCTGGAGATGGCTACTGGTGATCCTCACAGCGATGCCTCATGGAGATGCCTCATAGAGATCCTTCCTGGTGATCCTCCTGGAGATGCCTCCTGGTGATCCTCACAGCGATGCCTCATGGAGATGCCTCCTGGTGATCCTCACAGCGATGCCTCATGGAGATGCCTCATAGAGATCCTTCCTGGTGATCCTCCTGGAGATGCCTTCTGGTGATCCTCACAGCGATGCCTCATGGAGAGGCCTCCTGGTGATCCTCACAGCGATGCCTCATGGAGATGCTTTGCCAGTTCAGACTCCACGCTGAGCGGTAAGCTGCCTCCACCTTGTGGTGAATGTCCTGCATTGAAAACACTGCATTCGGAGAACATGGCGCCCCCTCTCTCATTTTCCTCCAGAGAGAACGGCCGGCTCAAGGTGGCAGTGTGCCTCCACAAATCATTTCACAGAGAGATGGAAAAGAAGAAAACCGCAAGCGGCAGACCGACACCATGTCTTTATTGACCAATGAAGAACTGTGTCACCACAATCAAGTAGTATTTATTTAATCTGCTAAATACAACTAAATGTTGAGGAGAACTTGTACTACTGCCTAAAAGAATGAACACATAATTTATCAAAACATGAAACATATCAATTTAAAACAATATTCGATTATTTATTTTTTATGATGAAACCAAGCCAGTGAATGGACACGTGATCGGGTGATAGGTGTCATCTTGTGTGAAGGGGGACCAGCGAGACCTGGTGCCTCTCGAGGACTCAAAAGTCCTGCCTCACTCCTGATTCTTCAGACTCCACCTCTTATCTTGCATTTTAGTTTATATTTGGTAAAATATAATAAATAAAGTTGTCAGTTTGAAGGTCACGACCAATCAACACCTTTGTCCTACTGCTTCATTATACAGACCTTTATTTGAAGTTCTTTCTAAAGTTTTGCAAACGTACCAAATATGTCAAATTTGGGGGGAAAAATTGTTCCACTCTTGATAGAATGGAGATCCATATTATTAGTATATTATAGTATTTCAATTCTTCTTTCTGCTAAAAAGACCAAATATATTGAGCAGTTCTGCATCTCAATAACACTAGAAACCAAAGAAACAAACAAACAAACAAGCTTGTGTGTTTGTTTGTGTCAATAAATAAAAACCTGTGTTTGTGCGGTGCTTCTCCAGCAGAGACGTCAAGTCTTGTCCCGGAGACGTCCTTCGTCACAACGTTGTTGCTGTTGCTCAACACTGACTTTCCTTTTAAACCTTTAATGACTGCACACATTGGAGCAGTCCGCCTCCCAAAAAGTGGTTTCTGTCGATTGATTGACAGCACGTTTGAACCACTGAAAGGTTCCAACCTGAAATTCATTTCTCTATTCTGTTTTCCAGGAGATGCTCTGAAATGTTTTCTCTGGTCATCTGTTGCTGCTTTAACTGGAAAGATGATTACACACTAATGTAATTAGTTGGGGTTGGTCGGTTATTGGGTTTACTTTCATTCACAGTTTTAAATGCTGCACAGAACCGTGATGAGAAGGTCCTGGTTGGAGGACTTGTATTGTACATAATGGACACAAAGTGAATATCACACAAAATGATGAATCCGCGTTTTAATATTTGAAAATAATTTATTAAATAACACTAGCATATATTTTTTTCTTTGATATCAAGAGTCACATTTTCATTAAAACGCCACAATAAAACAATGTTTTCCCCTCCACCTTTAAATGGGACGAGGGAGGAGAACAGCTGGTAAAAGTGACCAGCGTCCCTCGGGATAGGGAGAGGGGGGGGAGGGGGGCAGCGGGGGGTCCGCCGTTGACCCCACGAACGAGGCAGGGCGTGGCCACGCCCCCTCGTTGCGCAGCGCGCGCGTCTATTGGCTGCCGGGAATCATCTGGTGCCCGGATCCGGGCCGCCGCCGAGGGTTCTACTCCGTTAAAACTCCCCCCGAACGGCTCCGTCCTCCCTGACACTTGTTGCCGTCGGCCCGCGCAGCACCGGCAGAGGCCCCCGAGCGCTCCAGCATTTCCTCCCAGGGATCCTCCTCCTTTCCCCCGCGGGGAGTGATGAACTCCATCGACCCTCAGTCCCATCACCTGCACCAGCACCACGCCTCCCCCGCCGCCCGGCTCCCTGCCCCCCAAGGGCGCCCAGGAGGCCCCCGCCGACATGGCCTCCGTGTACTGCGACAACCTGAGCGGCGTGTACCACCAGCAGAGCCTGCAGGGCGCGCAGAGACCCGCCGGCTACGGCCTCGGGGATTACGCGTCGTCGCCGAACCCGTACCTGTGGATCAACGGGCCGGGCGTCAACTCCCCCGCGTCTTACCTGCACGGCAACAACCCGGCGCCCTTCATCCCGCCCTCCTACGGCTCGCAGCGGCCGTTCCTGAGCAACTCGCCTGGCTTCGGGGGGCCCGACCTCGGCTGGCTGTCCATCGCCAGCCAGGAGGAGCTGCTGAAGCTGGTGCGCCCGCCCTACTCGTACTCCGCGCTCATCGCCATGGCCATCCAGAACGCGCACGAGAAGAAGCTGACCCTGAGTCAGATCTACCAGTACGTGGCCGACAACTTCCCCTTCTACAAGAAGAGCAAAGCCGGCTGGCAGAACTCGATCCGGCACAACCTGTCTCTGAACGACTGCTTCAAGAAGGTGCCGAGGGACGAGGACGACCCAGGTACCGTGAACGCACCAGGGGGAGGCTATTCTGAACGACGTGTTGTGTTTAAGGACACGTTACGCTCACCTGGGAGACTCACAGAAATTACATTTACGTTGTTTCTTCCCTACATCCTTCAAATCCAAAAAAGGACATTAAATATTATTTTAATGTCTAGTCTAAAAGTTGTTATGGTTAGTCAAGTCTTTTAAAAAACTCAATTTATATCTTTGTATTTTAAAACCAAAAAGTTATTGGAAATATCTCATACTGTAGAAATAATAATTTATATAATAACGGAGTCTTCAAAGGTTAATACTGAGAATGTCTTCAATATTTATAGAAATTAATTACAAAAGAATTTTAATAACATACAGAAATCAAAGTGCTCTTGTTAAGTAGTACGAATGCATTTATTTGTTCCAGAAATATTACTTAATCTTAAATGCATGTGCATGAATTTTACTGGAACATGACGGTTGTTTTTAATCTGAACCGGTTCTACAACGACAGCCGGCCAAGGAAAGGTGATATTTAAATAAGAAGTTATTCTTATTTGTTCGGTCCCACATCTTCTCTGTGTCTAATGTGTCCTCGGTCTGTACTTCATTTACAGGAAAAGGGAATTACTGGACTTTGGACCCAAACTGTGAAAAGATGTTTGACAACGGCAACTTCCGCAGAAAAAGGAAAGACGTTCGGATCCGAGTAGCGCGGGCGGAGCGGCGGCGTCGGCGTCGGGGGCCA